AAAACTATTTGTGTTTTTATAAGGTCTAAACGAAATAAAAAGTATATTTAGAAAAAAATGTATTTCATTCATTTTTAGAATAGTCAGTTTCATTTATTTTCATTTAAAAATATAATTTTTTTTAATTTTTAAGGTAAGTAGCAATTTTTTCCACCTAGAGTCTTAATCCAGCTCACTGTTAGTCGTCTTTAAGCCTGCTCCACACTATGCGGTAAACTAGACGAACGTCAAATTTAATTTGCCAAGGGTGCCATGTTTCCATTATGTGCCGAATCCCATGTCCAATTACGAAATCGTCGCGGGGTGATAATACTATTGTGGCAAGTGCTTTACTAATGTTTAGTTATTTAAAGAAAACACTTCAAAACAACTAAAGATTTTCTAATTTTATAATGGGGTTTGAACTCCCAAAATCTCCTCCCCAGATACGGTCCTTTATTGAACCCCAAACCAATTTAAACTAAATCAAAAGACAAATCGTCACCTGAGAATTAGTGTTCTATCTGCATTTTTTTTTAAATTGTTTTAAGTCTTAAAGTGCATATTGTTCTATCTATATATAATTGGGGTAGAAATTGTTTACAAATCATTCGCTGCATAGTGTAGGTAATGTACTTGCACTTTATTTATGCTACTGCATATATTCGCGGACAAATCTCATCTCATCAACGGCATATGTCAGCGTTAATGCCGTTAAGGTCTATTTATACGTGTCCAGTCTAACGCTCGTTGTTTGTTGACTGTTTATAGCGGTCGGGACTGTTTATTAAGATGGAATTATAATCTTCTACACTAACTAATTATGAGTTTGTTACGGGCAAATTTTGATTAAATGTGTTTCGAGAGAAAAAAACGGAGTTAATTACATTTCTATTACATAACAAAAATACTAAATTACCAGTCGAATTTGTCGTCAGAGCGTACCGGTCAGACTTGGAGTCTGATTATTTCCCCAAATTTATTATTTATAGGGCGCAATGTCTTCGCAATTGCCAACAAGCCTTGTAACATTGTTTGCACAATCCATTGGTAGAATATGATAAACACAATGTATAAAATTATTTATAATAATCTGCAACAAACGATGATTACGGATGAAATATCAAAATTACAAAAAAACGTCAAATATAAAATGACGGTGAACCATCAATAATATTAAACGGTTCGCGCCAGCCTTAAGCTATTAGCAACTGGCACACCCAAAAATTACCAAGTGAATGGTTTTATTTTCATAATTTCGTAAAAAAACATTTTAAAACAGGGAAATTGTTACAGTTCTTGTTAAACAATACGCATTTTTTTATAACACATCAGAATTACGCCTTAAAAAAGTCATTTAACGGCTGTAACTTTACAATTCAAAGTTGGTAATGCTGACTTCATTATATTGCATTGATGACGTGCACCCATACATATTTGGCCGCGACTATACTATATGCAATACATATTTACAAACTTTTAAGGGACCGTAGAAGAACGCAATGTTTGATCAGTTTGTAAAACGTGGTTTCATACACACTATTTGTCGAACTAGGCCAACATTTGACGTTCGTCTAGTCGCCACATAGTGTGGCGCCTTTTCCGTTACATATTTCGTGATTTTGGATTACCGCCAGAGTTGGGACTCTGAAAAGAAAATTGAAAGTAACTTAGATACTTAAAGTATCTAAGATACTTTATCTTAGATACTTTTTATATTGGACAGAAAGTATCTTTAACTAAGTTACTTTGGAAAAGTATCTTGTAAGTTGTATCTTAAAAATTATTAAGTTACTTGGTAAAGTAAGTAAGATACATTCAAGTAACTTAGATACTTTAAAGTAACTAAGATACTTTTTAAAGTAACTTAGATACTTCTTAGTGTAACTTAGATACTTTCTTAGAGAAAATTGGGGGAATTCCAGAATGATTCAAAGTAATTACCTAATCTACAACTTGTTGAATTTTCTTAATTTTATAATTTTTATTCATACTTAAAAGTAACTTAGTTATTTAAAAGTATCTTAGTTACTTAAAAGTATCTTAGATACTTTCATATAGTATCTTAGATACTTTCGGATAGTATCTTAGATACTTTTTAAAGTATCTTGTAACTAAAGATACTATAAACTCAGTATATAGTTACCCGAGGTAACTAAGATATTTTATTTAAAGTATCTTAGAAAAGTAACTAGATACTTTTCAAAAGTAACTTTCCCAGCTCTGTTTACCGCGTACGTAAAGATTATTGTTTTGTTAGTAAAAATTTTACTGTAAAATAGATATTTCTTAATTATTTAATAAACAAAGAGCGATCATTTTAATTTCAAAATACTACAATTTATCATTATTGAATCAATAATTATTTAATTAATTTTTACTCGATTTCCGATGGAAAAATCTTGTTTTAAAGAAAGATAATAATCTCATATTAATATTGTTTAAGAAAAACCAAATTTATAAAGTGCAATTTGACCAATTATTCGCGAAGATAAGAGCATTTCAACAAAGTAAAGTAATTTTCCAACACTTACCAATACTTCTTTAATGGCTTGATAAAAAAATAAAAACAATCCGAGATGCAAAAGCAAAATTGTGTCCGATTTGGCGTGGGATGCCCCATACGTCAAAAAAATTTGAACTACCCCATTGAAGTGAAATAAAAAAAATAGATAAAGATTAGAGAGTGAATGTGATGTGATCTTGCGAGCCGCCGGCCGCCGCCACACTGACCTGGCCCTAACAGGGGTGGGATCGTGGTGTCGTTTAGATGGGGGACGGTGGATCGGTCGGGCGTGGTCGCGCAGCTTGTGCAGCTGGTCGTGGGCGACGTGTCACGTGTCGCGTGACATTCGCAACGTGACGAAGTGGAACCTGCCGACGACACGCTGTTCCTCTTGCTGTAGCCGCCTCCGCCTCCACCTTCGTCCTCGGGCGGGCGGCCGCCCGCCCCCGCCACCAAACAACCGTCGCAAGCGCAGCCAAACAAGCACAAGCCGTTTAACCGTTTTTTCGGCGAGTTAGACGAAGTTGCGGCAGCGCGACGGCTGCCTGACCTCTGCCGGGGAATTTCGAAATCGAGGTCGTCTGCGCAGCATCGTGGCGCCGACGCACCGCTTTTGCGACGCCCTAGGTTCACACACACGCTCACAAGTTTTTATTTGTCTGCATTTTTTCTCCTTTTATTTTTAAAAGCCTACAAGCCCTACCCTATATCCTATTTTATACATTGTAAAGGTACTTTAGTTTTATTGTATTAATACATTTTTTCTACTTATATTGCATATTATTAACTTTATTTTCCCTATATAATGGTAACCATTATAAACTCCTCGCCTAATAACGGGAATAATGAACTCATTATTCGCGTTATTAGGTGATATGCAGATTCACTGTGATTTGAACCAATAGGGTTTTAAATTGGGAAAAAGTAAGTTTGGAACTTATAACAGATTTTTTGATATATACAAGGGGCGACTAAATTTGGGAGAAAGTAAGGTTATAATAAATTTTGTTATTAATCAAAATTACTTAATTGGAGTATAAAAGGCATGGGATTATATTATATTCTTAATTTCTTTAATTTGAAGGCAAAAACGTAAAGATTTTTAAAAGATTTAAAAACATAAGCACAAAAGACACTTCTTGTCAGAACGACATACAAAATTAAATTTAAAAATTGTTACCTTTAAGGCACACTTTCTATTATTATTTTAATATTTCTTAAATGATACTTAAAGCGTACAATTATTATTAAAAGTAGAAAGTACAGTTAGATCAATCTGACAGGAGTCGATTTTTTTATTGGTACAAAATAGTAAATATTGAATTTGTATGACCAATTTGTGTGATCATAACCATTGTTTAAACATTACGTACTAATCTATATAATAGGACTTGAACAATATAAAAAAGGTAAACCTACTATTTTGAAGTTAACGCTCTCATGTCTTTTTAAATAATAAAGGTAATTTTTTTTTACAATTTTCTGGGATTCCTGGTCTGTAGATAATACTTTAAGATGGTGCGCGACTTTTGGGGTACCCTGTATAGTTTGGCTAATAAAATACTTTATAAAAGCAGTAATTATACAAAAATTGTATTCCGATATGCTTATTCAAATATTATATCATATAAAATATTAATTATTTACTTATCTAGGTACTCAACAAAATTTAACATTATTACCTAATCATTATATTATATAATAATCATATGAAGAGTAGATCAATTAATGAAAAAAAATAATCCCTATCTAACAAATAATAATAAACTACTGGGAAAAATCAGTATCAATAGAAAACCAATAAAAACAAAATTTTAACAAGGTCATCCTTCAAAAATGATTTATGATTTCACTCCCCTATTTTAAATTTTATTACACCAGACTAAAATCAATAGCAGCAAATGAAACAAACATACCAGAATACTTATGATTAATGAATGGAGTAATTTTTGTATTGTTTGAATTTATGTATTATGCAATTTCAATCATGTCTCAGTATTAAAAAAATTGTTTTATATTGCAAAATATGCACATTTAAAATTAAGTACGTCATTGATAAGTGCCTGATGGTGTGCCTCAAGGTTCTAATCTATGCCCAACAATTTTTGGAGAAAAAATGCAGACTTGTGTGTGGTACTTATAATTTTGTCCCCGTTTTTTTGTATTTAATTTTAGCAGCTTTAAATTATATTTTGAAAAAGTGTGTATTGGTAAAATCAAATAAATAATTAAATAGACATGCCAGTGTCTGTGTTAGTAAGTTTGTTAATTCATGCCAAATACAGTACAAATCTAAGTTAAATTTATTTTGAAATGCATTTTTTTTAACATAAACAATAATTGATAATTTTGCAGTTATTATTCATTAAAAATTAGTATTGTCCCCAAAAATATATACAAAAGTTTTTTATCATAAAAATACAGTAAACATGCGATTTTGGTAACAAAAAAATCCATTCCCAATGTAAAACTAACCATTTAAAACTAATAAATTATATAGAAAAAGAAAACATACTGTTGTTGGCCATCAAGTTCTCCTGAAGTTTGTCCCGTTGATCCTCAAGAACTTCACCCAAGTACGAGGCCACTTTTCTGGTAACTTGTTCAACAAATGCGTCCAGTTTACCCAGATCATCGGACAAACCAACCAATTGGTCCAAAGTACCAACCTTATAGTTCAAATAGTACATTTAGTTTTTTTCAAGCAGTATCTATAGATCACTAAACATTACCTTGAGATCGGGAATGTGGAATTTATAGTTAAGAGACAAGCTGTTTTGCTTGCTGGTAGCAGTGTTCATTTTGTCCCATGTTTGCTGACAGGTTTTGTCCCCTGGTGCCGATATTAGCCAGTACTCTGTCATTTTATTATCTTCACTGAATGCTGAGCCAGATGTTGAAGGTCTGAACACTGAACCAGATGTTGATGACTCCTGTCTGTTTTTATTATGCCTTAAAATATATCCAATAAGAAACCTACCTATAATTATACACCAATGACAAACCAACAAAATTGAACATTTTCTGGACTTTTTAAATAAAAAATACAAAGTTAACAACCTTATAAAAAATTCAAAAAATGAGCAATTTTCGGCCGTCACACAGTGTTTTTTCCTTTTAAACACACTTAAAACAACTCATTTATCTTGTAAACACATCATGTGACTTCATTTAAAAATTAACATTGGAGTTTTTATGGCATAATTTGCACGTATTAATTGACGATTTTTCGATAAAACACAGCACATTTCGCAGAATAAAACATACCCATAATGAGGGTGATAACTAATTGACAAAATACTAAAACTAGGTTATTATTTCTTGAATAATTCATTAACAAACTCAATAATCGAATTTTTAAACCCACAAAGTGTCAATTATTTTAGTAGGTCAAATAAATACACCGCCACCCCTATCAAAAAACAAAACTGCTCGCAATTAATTAAAACCCTCTTTTATGGCTGCAATTCTTTAAACTTAAGCAGCACACATTTATTGCGAAAATGTGTACTCGGGGCGATTAAATTTACCTTTTAGAAAACGGGTAAAATCACAAAACAACCCTTGCTACACTAAACCACTCCCCAGAAGACAGCTGATCGTTAGTAGAGTTTCACGTGATGTTGGGTGCTGTCATCTTTGACAGGAAAGTCACATGCTTAGTTCACAATATTACCACTAAATTTAAAAAGAGAATTATTGAAAACTATTGGATAAAAAGATATATATATCACAAAGAAATATTTTTACATAATAATTTAAGTATTATTTTTGACATAAACGCTATGGTTTTTTTTAAACGCTATTTTAGCAAAGAAATTAGGTATCTATTTTAATGTAGTTTAAATGGCTCATAGATGTCGCTTTAAACGGCGTTTGTTTATCACGCGTCGATTTTTTTGGCAAATTTATTAATTTACTGTTTATTTTTAACCTTTTTTATTAATAAGCAGGATTATTTGGGTTCTATAACTTTTTTACACAAATAAAACAAGGTTTTTACATTAATGTAGACAATTGTCTACCTTAATGTTTGAGTCATGTAACATGACTCATGTTATCTATAATCATGTCTTTATCTCTGGTCATGTCAGGTCAAAAATTGAAATACCCATATTTTTAATAGCTAACTTTAATAGTGGAAGAAAGTAGATTGGAGTTTCTACACTCGAGTGAAATCTTCTTTTTTTGACCACAATATTTTATTCAACTACCTAGGTAGCTACCAGAAGGAATTTAATTTAATTAATATTTTATCTGAAATCTGACAGCTGTCAAGCAACTTTAACCTCACTTTTTTCAATTTAAATTTAAAGGCCGTGGGCGAAGTAAAATTTCGGTTAAAGTTAAGAAATAAAATGGGTGTTGAATAAATAATATGTGTGACTATTGGGAGAAAGAGGAGATTCCTCGAGCGTGGAGTTTGCCGCACGAGCGTAGCGAGTTTACTACGAGTCGTACACAATTTTATTCAACCACAATTATTTAAATAATTTTAAGTTTCGCCCACCGGTTAAAGTTAAGAAATGAAAAACGGGAGTCGAATAATAGTATATTATTACACGAGAGATATTAATTTATGAGGAGTTACCTAAGTTAACTTAAATTCGAAAAAATCATGTCTGCCACCAAATTTTTGTACAGAATTTAATGAGTATGAGTATGAGTATAAGAGACGTATAACCAGCCCCATTTCCTCTTGACTCTCGAACCCCGTACAGGCCTATGTTTACTTACGCCGATTTTTGTTCTTTCCCAGCAACTGCACGGCTTCACCCGTGTTTGCTGGGTGCGAATGTCCATTGCGTTCCGTACTGTCCCCTATTTGGGGCTCGAGAGCGAGAGGCGAATAGTTATAATAGCCATTCCCGGGTTCGCCGAGCCTATGCTATACGCTCGGTGGGGTATGGATGAGGGACGGGAGGGAGTTGGTTTTTGGGGGACAATTACGCCGACTTAAAACTAAGTACGACGCGGAATCCCCCTAGACCAGTCGATTAGTAATACTCCAAACATTTGGGATTACTATTTGGAGTTGGGGAGTTGTTATTTCGCTGCAGGGGTGTAGTTTCCTAGTCAAGGTCTTTGTCTTGTTCGTTATTGTCATTGTCCGTGTTCTGGTCAGATAGTTCCTGCCCTTGGTAAAGTGTGTCAGTTGTTTTTAATATTTTTGTCCCAAGCACATTTTGTGGTAGAGTTCCGTCTTTGTTTATCAAATTCCAAAGCTTGCATTTATTCACTAGTCAAACAAATCACAAGCGCGATTATTCTGTTGTCTAATGTTTACAAATCTCGAGTTTGGCTATTAGGCCCTTTTTTTTAATGTGTTAGAATTATGTGTTCAATGTTAGTTTACTCTGTCAGTCCAGTGTTTATTTCGGTCTCGATTGGGACCGCCTTACGCATTTGCTGTTGACAGACTTATTGCCCCACGCCGCGTGCCCTTCATGGGTTTTAAAGATATCCCAATAAACACTTTAACGATACCTAACACCATTAACATTGCCCGTGTAAGAATTTTTAACACTTTTTAATACAATTTTGCAATGATAGTAATTAAAAACAAAACAATTGTTTAAAGTTCTTAACATAATCATATTTTAAAGTTATTTTAACATTTTCAAGTAAAATAAATGTTATGTTTAATGAAATGAATACGGGCAATGTTAATGGTGACAAATAACGGAAAATGCTTGCCGTATTTATATTGCAGATTTGTATCAGGTCATGCATACTCTTAAAGTAAAACTTATCAGATTTTTCCCTTTGCGGATGGCCACCTCCCCTCTTCTCCGACCTCCCCCGTCCGTCCAGTGAAAAGCCTCCAATGACAGGTGGCACCCAAGTCATTCATATTACCCAACACTCCACTCCTCAATGACCGTTACACCATTTAGCTTGCACTCCATGAAAATGTTTGTTTCACTTATCAGTTCGCACCCCTTTTTTTTAATTATTGTTGGTTTCATCTTTAAACTTTTACGTTTCAAGAGCTCGCCCGCGTGACGCGACTCGTCTTCTCGAGAGCTGGAGCCGAATTTTTGTACAGAATTTAATGTAGCAGAAAAATAAAAAAAGATATCTTGGGCTCGCGAACTGCACTTAAAACTGAAAGTAAAAAAATATTTTTTTCAGGTAAACATTTTTCTGCTACATTATAAATTCTGTACAAAAAAAGTTATATGTTGACCGATCTTTTCCCTTTTGTATATAATTCAAATTCATTGTTTTGGCCTTTATATCTTTACAATTTGTTATTACGGATGATTTCCGGGACTGGGTCAAACATTTTTGTCCCCCTTCAAAAAAAAATTCCAATATGGCAAATTTAAATTAATTAAATTTTTATTGTTATTAATACTAACATTACAATTTATTTATTGAGGGAGTTAATAAAATTCTTCTTGCATACATTACTATTCTGGCGCTACATTTGTTCAGTATTTAGTAGAAACTGTTTTTGTTTAGTTTAACCCTTTCGGAGCCAAATTTAAATTACTGAAAAAAAATTTTTTTTTCGTTATAGTTGCATTCATTCATTGGTATTATTTTGAGATATTTTTGAAAAAAAAAAATTTTTCATTATTTTTTTTCATAATATGACATGTCCACTGGAATGGACAAAGTTACTTTAGAGAGGTCAAGTAATTATACGGTCATCTACTGTGTTTTATGTCTAGTCCACTATAATGGACAACATGTTTTTGAGACAAAATATTTAATATTTAAAAATATAAATGGTGTTAAAAAAAATGTCCAGTCCAGTGGACATAGCGTACGAAAGGGTTAATGTAAAAACACATTAAAAACCTATTTTCTACAATTTTAGACTATACAGTATTATTTCAGGTTTTGGTAAGGTGACTAACTTTTTAAAATAAAAAACCAGGATACAACATGCCCCTGCTCGCCCTTCCAAAAAATAATTATTTGAAAAAAAGATGTGGTAACTTCAATAATAAAAAAATTATCCTAAAGGTACTCCCAAAAATTCAGATTTTTAAATTAATTATTAAGCTGAGCCCCGACCTCTTTAAATAAAAAAATAGAACAAATCCTAAAAAAGTGGGAAAAACTCATAATTTTTAAATTTTTTTTTCAAACGAGGTTTTTTCTTACTATTTTACTATCCTAAATTTTAATTAATTAATATTAAAATCTGAATTTTTGGGAGTACCTTTAGGACCAGGTCATATTTTAATATTAATTTTTAACCAGGGCTCTGACCACTTATAATAAAAAAATTGGAACAAATCCTTAAAAAGTAGGAAAAACTCATAATTTAAAAAACTAATAGAAAAATAATAGAACAAATCCTAAAAAAGTGAGAAAAAGTCATAATTTTTTTTTCAACCAAGGTTTTTTTCTTAAATTTTTACTCTTCTAAATGTATACCTACTTCCAAAGATTTATATTTTTAAACTAATTTTTAACCAAAGCCCCAACCACTTAAAAAATGCAAATAATGTCAATAAAAAAATTAGTATAAACCAGGACCAAATCTGCAAAATCAGTACACAATTAAAACCAGGACACATTAGCAAAAATCAAAACCTGTCCTGGGCAGTGTTGCCAGTAGTAGGAAAAATAAAATGTACTTCTTATTTAAATGCAATAAACAAAAACGTTTGTGGGTTTTTCGTATTTCCCCCAAAATTAAATATAGCGCGATGATGCAACAGACGAATATAAAATAAAACAAATAAACACGGAAAGCAGAACACTAGGAAATGATATTAAATAAGAGAAACAAAGCAGCCACTTTATTGAAAATGAATCAAAATTTAAAAATAAAATGTACCAAAATAGTCCTTGTAGTACTTCAGAACCACCAAAAAGGTACAAATGTACCACCTCTGGCAAACTGGTCCAGGGTAAACCAGGATGGTTGGTCACCTTAGGTTTTGGAAATATTAAAATAGGTTTATCTATCATTTTGAATATTTTTCTGGGGGTTTGCGACTTTACTTTTTATAAAAAATGATCTTCATAGAAACTAATCAGACTCTGATAATATAATATAGATAATTTTCTTTAGATAGTAAATTCGCAAATTTCAAGAAACTTCCGGAGTAAAAGTTAGGATTTTGGGTTTTGTATTAAAAAATTGCTATTTCAAACCAGTTTTTATTTGAAAATAAACACCACATTGTAGACAAACTTTTATTAAGTCGAAAACTAAATCGAACATAAAATAAAACTTTAAAGAATATGTATTTTGTTAACTAATTGAAAATTATGTAATAAATACAAATATAAAATGATAGGCGCACTACCTTAGTAGTAATCTAGCTGTATAGGTCATCTTCAGGGTCGTCCTGGAAGTTACCCTGGTCTCCGGCAGTGCCACCTGGTGCCTGTGGCCCTGTACCAGCGTTGGGGAAACGGAAATTGGTACCGAAACCTCTCGACTGTTGCAAAGTTTGCGCGAACATCTCGTATTTGCGAATGTCGTTATCGGAAACCGACCTCCTGGCGAATCGCATCGCCTCTTCAAAGTGCGCTTTTGTTATCTCTGGAACTGGATCGTCTTCTTCTACCTCCATCGAAGCCACGTTGGGGTTGGTGGCCCTTTCGCGCTCGCGTCTTATTTCCGACTCTATGCACTGCCTGATGGCCAGTTTGCAAGCGCGTTGGCAGATTTCCGTCAGATCGGCACCAGAGAAACCGTGCGTTACTTTGGCGATGTAGTTCATGTCTACGTCCTTGGCCACCGGAGATTTTCTCAAGTTGGCCTTGAAGATCGCCTCCCTGGACTTGTCGTCCGGCAATGGGATGTAAATCAGCTGGTCGAGACGGCCAGGTCTCAAAATTGCGGGATCAATGATATCTGAAAGGAAGATTTACGGTTCCTATTCTGTTTCAACGAAATTTATAAGAAATGTGTTTTAGTAAGTTTCAAAATAATGATCCATTATTGTTATCAAAATGTCCATTAAGTGGTTGTACGCGTTGGCAACAAAAATTCGATGAACTGCAGATGATCTTTCAAATAGTGTTTAGTGTTTTCATCATTCTAAAACTTATGTATTTTCCACATTTGTGTTAATGTTTTTCAACACTTGTCTTTCTAAAATTAGTCCTAAACAAATAAAATAATTACTTACAATTTGTAAGTAAATATTTTATTTGTTACAAACAATCAATTAGATTTAGTTGAAAATTTAATTAAGTGTCAAAAAATAAATGTTCCTTGCATCAAAATTATAAAGAATTTAAAATGTTGCGTTGTTGCCGTTTTTAATAAAAAAATAAAAAATGAACATTCAACTTTGTTCTACACACATTACCTGAATTTTCTTTAAAAAATATAAACCTTTCATTAGCTGGATGTGAAAGAAAAAATTAGGATCGTTCTTGTGTAAAACATTTTTTTTTAGCACATTGTAAGCGACTGAAACGACTCGGCTTTCAAAATCTAATTTAAAATATTTGCAAACAATTCCAAACTCTGCATTTACGTTGAGTTTAGAAAAAAACTACGTTTGAACGTTTATGTGATGTACAGAAATCGCTAAAAACAGACTAGACGGGTTTGTGACTCGTTGATAACAAACATTATGCTTAGTTTTTAAAAACAAAATGGCGGATTTAATAAGCGGACATTTTTTCTGAATTTTTTTTTACTAAAATTAGTATGCATGGGTGTTTTGGGACGCTGATAACGATTTTGACGTTTATTTTTTATATATTTACTAAAATTAGTACGTGTTTTCTCCTTTGGCAAACATTTGGTGAATTTTGTTTTGGCTTTTTGTATTATTCTTTTAGTAAATTATTTATCCTACATACTTTTTATATATTTTACCTCATAATTTTAAGGCTAATAAAATAACGAAAATGAACATGTACAGCCATACCCTATATAATACGCAATTATTTTTTTTGTAATATTGATCTTTAATTAAACCCCTATATTTAAAATTTGAAGTTTTTAGGATAACAGCTTCCTCTTCCGTCTGTTTTTTAGCGATTTCCGTACATCACAAAAACGTTCAAACGAAAGTTTTTTCTATACTAAACGAAAATCCAGAGTTCGGTATTATTTCAAATATTGTTAATTTTAGTATGCAAAAGTCGTTGCATCGCGTTGATGCGCTTACGCCGCGTTAAAAAAATGAATTTTTACACAATAACAATCACAATTATTTTTTCACATCTAGCTTCTGAAATGTATATATTTTTATATTCTGGAAAGAATAGTATATTACACTACAAGGGCAGAAAGTGTAAGATTCCTGCACTGCGCGCATCATGGCGCGCAGTTCAGGGCTCTCACACTTTCTGCCCGTGTAGTGTATACTATTTTTCTTGCTACCCGGCAGAAAATACGGGAAAAAATAAAATGTGTATAAAAAACTTGTGTCAAAATTAAAATCTGACGTTTAATTAAATTCTGACGTTTACATTCAAAATCAATCAAACTCTAGCGTTGTCATGGTAGCGGGAGGAAATGAAACTTTTCTTACTACCTCGGCCGAAAATACGTTTAGCCTTGACCAATGCATAAAACGTAAACTTTCTGCCGTGGAATCGGGGACGAAACAACGTATTTTCTGCCGGGTAGCAAGAAAAATTTATTTACTGCAAAGGACATTTATTTTTTATTTAGGACAAACATTTTCTGATATACCCTGTATAAATGCGAATTGAATTTTCAATAGAAAATTTGTTGAATATTATGAGGCAACCCATTCCTTAATGTAAAATAAGTTTTTACCGATTTTTATTACCATGGTAAAAACCACATGCCCACAACAAATGGCAAATATTTAGATTATTTTTAAAATAAAAGGAATAATTATTATTATCATAATATGTGACCTGGACAAGTCGTGTCCGTGCGTCGCGTTTGTATTTGCGCTTCTATCTCTTCTTTTTTCGTCTTACCCTTGGCTCTTCACCTCTCTTTAGACTTCCACTATACAGTGGTGCTTTTACAATAAATATTTTGGTACCTTATTCAAGTGATTTCCTCTAAATAGCTAATTTTGTGAACGTTGAAAAAGTTGGAATAATACGTGCTGCTTTTCTTATCATTCTATTTCCGAGATCGTGCTTTTTCATTGGTATGCAGCTAATTTAAAATTGTTTTAGTGTATGAAAGTGCAGAATGGATTTAGAAGAAGAATTTAAAGCAGTGGAGAAACAATATTTTGCGGATTGTGATGAAGATTACGAAGATTAAGGTGGAGGTGCAGATGTTAGTGACATAGAAGATGGCGTACCAGATTCGTCTTTCAATATCTCTTCAGGATATTGACAAAAATAAAAAAGCAATTCTTGAGCTATTTACAATTTTTTTCGCGATTTTTAAACTTTAAGGATGATTTCCAGAAAAAGTTTCAAACTTAGGAGTCTGCGGTTTGTTCCATTGAAAAATACGTTCAATTTTCTATAAATTTCGATCAAAAAACAAAACTTGATTCTTCCGACCATAGGTACCTTTCTAGAGTCCAGGTCACATATGATGACTATATTCAGAGTCAAAAATTCACTTTTTTCTCGATGTCAGTGTACGGATTGTATTGGTAAAATTTGAAAATTTTTAGAAAAATTTACTTTTGCATTTTTTTGTATAATCGTTTAAATACAACGAAAAAAATCAATTTTTCTGAATATTTCACAATTTTTCCGTTTTTTTTTTTAACGAAAAAAAGTGTTTTTTTCCGCCGGCTCAATTTTTCCGGAAATTTTAAAACTCCACTCAAATGTTAGTGATATTCTTATATTTGGTTATAAAGTTGGGTTCTAACAGAGAAATAATGTAATATAATTTAATTTAACTTTAACAGTAATTTAATTTACTTGCGTTCATACAAAAATTAACGTAATTTAATAGTGTTTGAAATTAAAAACAATATTTTAAAGAGTGCCTACTTCATGTATCTAAAACTTAAAGTTTTAGATATATATGGCTTACTTTGGTAATTACAATCGAAATATTTTTCTTAGTATTAAAACCGTTTACACAAAATAAGTTAGATTCTTCCAAAATAGCTTAGATAATACGAAATAACCTTGAAATAACGTAATTTAATTTAAAAGATAAAAGTTGGCCAACTATTAAATTAAGTATTAAATTACATCACTGTATGAACGTTACAAAGGATTGTTGGGGTTTTAACTTTTACTTTTAATATTTTGTAACGATTTTTTGGGCTTAATTTGGTAACGAAATATAAGAATATTACTTTATCTAAAGACTTAAAAACATACTATGAGAAATAGTTAAATTAATCCACAAGAAACTCTCTTACCTGGTCTGTTGGTAGCACCGATGATGAAAACGTTCTTTTTGGCGCCCATGCCGTCCATCTCCGTCAAAATCTGGTTGATAACTCTGTCAGCCGCCCCACCGGCATCCCCGACATTTCCACCCCTGGATTTAGCGATGGAATCCAGCTCGTCGAAGAAGAGCACGCAAGGAGCGGCCGAACGCGCCTTATCGAAAATATCCCTGACGTTGGCTTCGGACTCGCCGAACCACATGGTCAGCAGCTCGGGCCCTTTGATCGATATGAAGTTGGCCTGGCACTCGTTGGCGATGGCCTTGGCCAGGAGTGTTTTACCGCAACCGGGCGGGCCGTAGAAGAGAACTCCGCGCGACGGCTGCATCCCGAACTTCAGGAACTTGTCGGGGTGTTCCACGGGGTATTGCACCAACTCCTGCAGTTCCTTTTTGACGTTTTGCAGGCCGCCGATGTCTTCCCAGCTGACGTTGGGTACTTCGACCACGGTTTCGCGGAGAGCGGACGGGCTGCTCTTTGTCATCGCGTAGCGGAAGTTCTCCATCGTGACGGCGAGCGAGTTTAGTACTTCCGCGTCGATTTGATCGTCCTCCAGGTCGATCAAATCCATCTTCTCTCTAAGAACGAGAGTTTCAGTCAAACAAAATGTCGTTTTTACTAGCTTCAGCTCAAAAAAAATTCGGTTTAACCAATTTTTATGTTTGTGGTTACCTCATTACAAATATATTGTCCGTCTCCGCAAGTAGTGCTCTTGGACGTTCTTTTGCCTCACGAATATTTCAAGTATTAAGCTTTAGCCACTACGTACGAAGACCGACGATATTAATGAAGTTTTTTCTGAAAAACTGAAATAGTTCTTGGGAGCAATACACAGTGCAACACAACATTTTAAACCAGATTAAATTGTTTTTTCTGAAAGCATAATTATTTAATAGGAAAAACCTTGGTGGGTTTGTAAAAGTTGGCTTTTGAGTTTTAGGATACTAATTTAAAATTAGTAATTTTAAATTGACATACAGTCGAACTTTGAGTTATCAAAGTTTGACTGTACCTCAAATTTTTCTTAAAAATTAAATATTTTATGAAAGTAGTTGAAGTTTTAAATTCTGATTCATTGTAAAAAGGTGTTTATTTTTAAAACAATTTATTTTTATAAACAATTGATGCAAACAAATTTAGTTTTAAGGGTCAAGTGTTCATAAAATTGTATTTTTTTTCTTTGGCCTAACTCGCTTAATATTCAGTTCATATTTAATTTTTTCTGGCAGACCCACCATACCCAAACTAGCATACACAGTGTTGGCGATTTCCCCCCTAGTTTCTAGGGATTTTTTTACCATTTTTAACACTCATTTTAAGATTGTGTTTTATTTGTGGTCTCTTTTATTTTTATAATATATTTAATTTATTATTAGTTTAGAAAGACCTCAGCCTTTTGGTTCCATACTACTACTACTATTAGTTTAGTAATTTAAATAAAAACATTTTTATTTATACTCTTATATAATTATTGTTAAAACTAAGGAATTCTAGTGATTTTTTAAACCATGTTGGCAACAATGCATAAAGCCATAAAATAATTATATTTCTAGTAGGTACTAGGTAATAAATCAACAATGTTTGACTTCAAAAGTTTTAAAAAAATTACTTTTTCTAGCAGAAAATAAAAAATACAATAAAAATAGCCTTTTTAATTAAAAAAATATATATATTGACGTTTAATAACGCAAATAATATATACATATGCGACTTAAGATTATAAAAAAGGCAAAATTTCGAGTATTGAACTCAAAAATTTAATGGTAATTTATGGTCTTAAATTATAACAAATAATACTTAGTGGGCAATTTTATAAGAACATTTTCCCCAAAAATATTCTTAAATTATAAATTATTTTAAGATAAAAAACCTTTTCACAAAAAATCGGAACGAGAAACATCAACCACTTTGCCAAAAAAAAAAAACAATTTGTAAGCAAAATTTGACGACATAAAAAATTCGAGCTAACCCAGTGAGGGTTTTATTATTAAATAGGTATAGGGAAAATCAGTGAAAATTTGGTTTAAAACTGGTCACCTAAATTTGTCTCTGTAATATGAATTACTTTTGGATAAATAAATATTATTATAATTTAAACTATATTGATAATACAAATTTTATTATTATTTATTAAAATTTAACTACATTTAATGTAATGTAATTGATTAATCAAATCGACTATTTGATTATTTAATTAATCGATTATTGGCTAATAAATTATTTTATTATTATTATTTTAAAGAAAGAATGTACATACATTCTATCAGCATTTTTACTTATATATATACATTATGCCCAATATTGAATTGCTATTTCTAATTATATAATCATAATAATTATAATAATTAATTGTTATAATTAAAACAATCAAATATGCAAATTTGAAGCAAAAATATGACCATTTGAGGAGCCTTTTTTAAAAATAAACAAAATAAAAAATTTCAGAAATCGCATTTTTATGATTTTTGCTGGGTTACAAATGCTGCCAAACAAGACAATTAATAGTTTAATCGATTAATCAATAATCGATTATGAATTTCGATAATCGGCCAGCCCTAGTCGCAAGCCATGTAGGACACCAACAGAAAAAAAAAAGATTTGTGCCAATCTGTTTTTGTATTTTTGACTTACCTGATCTGTTGCAGAGCACTCTCGGAGCATAGCGAGGCCAAATCGGCGCCCACGTGGCCGTGCGTCTCGGCAGCGATCTGCTCCAAATCGACGTCGTCGGCGAGCTTCATGTTTTTGGTGTGGATGCGTAAAACTTCCAGACGGCCGGTGGCGTCGGGGATGCCGATGTCGATTTCGCGATCGAAGCGTCCGAAACGACGTAGAGCGGGATCGATCGAATTCGGACGATTGGTGGCGGCCATCACGATTACGTGCGAGCTCTTTTTCATGCCGTCCATGAGAGTTAAGAGTTGGGAGACGATACGACGTTCGACCTTAGAGAAAGAAGAGAGAGCTTCGTAAATATCAAGAATTTTCAAAATATTTTCCTTGAAAATTTGAGTACAATTTCAGTTAGCAACGGAAGTTGCGCGCGCACAGCTAACGAAAATTCGACACCGAGAGGTCTAAGAAAATTGATATTAGTGGAGACATGCCCCCCCTAGAGACTTGAAAAAATGTAATCAAATGCCAGGTCACTTATTTTCCGATTTATAATTCCTAGCAGTTAAGGTTTGGGAGTAATTAACGTTTTTCTAAAATAAATCCCAGATTCTAAGAACAAGTAAATATTTTGATTTTAAATAAGGTTACAAATATTCAAATTCATTTAATTAAACGAATTTAAACCAAAAAGTAACTGGCCATTTTTTTTAAATTTGATGATGATTATCTTTTAGTATGTTTAACTCCATTCCTATATCCTTTAATTCGTGTTTTTTGTTTGCCAAATTTACTTTTTGAAAAGTTTTTAACGGTTCCAACCCATTTTCAACGAACATAATTTGATGACCATCCCAAAGCAACTTTTCCCCAAATTTCGATTTCCGTTAATTGGACGTATAAATTGAAAAAAGCGGACCGGTCGATTAGGTCTCCTGGGCAAAAAACTTACAGGCAACATAAAAAGTTATTAAGAATTCTATTGTGAGTCAATCCATACATTTGAAGGTAGTCCCGCAAAAAAAGTTATTAAGAATTCGATTGTGAGTCAATCCATACATTTGAAGGTAGTCCCACAAAAAAAGTTATTAAGAATTTGATTGTGAGTCAATCCATACATTTGAAGGTAGTCCATAACTTTGATAGAAATAATTAGGTTTAATTTTCTGTCAGTGTCAAGCTAATTTCATTCTATTTCCTGAAAATAATGCAATATATGTATTTTAAAAATTCATTCAAAAATACATACATGTACAGTCTGTATACAATAGAATAAGTAAAGACGAAGATAAGGATAGCAAATAAACAAAAAGAAAGCAAGCAAGCCAACAGAAAAGACAATGGAATATAACCATAGTTGTCAAGTTGTTTTGTGATGTTATAAATAGTTTAACTATATTTGTTATAAAACCTTAAACATAACAATAATATTATTTATAAATAATGTTATTGAATTAACAGAGTTTATGATTTAGTTTATTTTATTATTATTTAATAAAAAAACAATACATTGAAATCGAAAATAGCATATGGCAACCTCGCGCTTTGATTTGAGCCCTAATTTGTTGACTACAGCGGATCCATAAGCTATTTTAAATTTCCTAAAATTAAATACTAAAAAAATTAAATAAAATAAAAACTATTTGATATTAAAAATCAACGTGACAACTAGGGTTATATCCCATTCACTCTTCTGTAGGCCACGCCTTCTATTGTACACACTATTCTACACACTGTAAATTGTATTATTAGAATATAAGACGAAATTAGCTTGACACTGACAGAAAATTAACCTTAATTATGTGTATCAAGGACACGTGGTGGGACTTTTGGGTAGGGTTGCCAGTTTCTATAAAAAAAATTCAGAACATTTTGTATGACTTTACCTTAAATACAAAAAGGACAAATTCAAACAATATAATAATTGTTAGTATCCTAGACCGAAGGTGAATTTTTCGGTAAAAGCCGATGTTCGCTTATTTAAGATCTTGGGCCAAAGCCGAAGGTGTATGATTTTACTAAATGGATACAAAAATATAAGCTTCGGCGAAACATTTAGATAAAGGATGTCTGTTCGGCTTTGGCTAAACCTTATCCTCAATTTTGGCCTGGCCCATTGGCTGGCGTGAACGTCGAGGTGATCATATTTGCTTGTATGTTCGTGGCGAAAGAAATAGGTGGCTCTACATAAGTAAGAGAGAGAGAGAGATGACATTAATCCAATATGGCGGTCGCCTTAAGATGGATTGCGTATTTTTTCAAAACCTCCTTGACATAGGTATCAAATGAAGGGTAGAAAAGTATAAAGTGAACATTTTCAAAGTTATAAGTTTTTTAAATTATTAAAACTTATTAATTGAATTTAATATCTTACATTGACCAAACAAGTATAACTTCTAACGCGTGTAACGTAACGCTAGAGATGTAGAAAAACTGTTTTTTTTCAGATGTGAAAAAAATAGAGATGGGAATCGGAAAGTTTCCATTTTAAGGAAACTTTCCGTTTTGGAAAGTTTCCAATTGGGAATTTATTTTCATTTTGAAAGTTTCTTTTAAGCTACCGGAAACATTCCTTGGAAACTTTCCTTGTTTTTTTTCATTTAAATGTCAATTGTTTAACCGCTGATTTTCGTTAAGGCCATGATACAAGGCCAAGAAACTTTGAATAAGAATTTAATGTGTGTTAATTTAAAGCAAAAGAAGTATAAATAATGTAAGTTATGTTACATAACCTCAATGAAGCCATATTATTCAGCATCACAAAAAACTTTTTTAAAAAAAGGTAAACAAAATAAAAACAATAAACAAAGTTAAAATCATTCTTACATTTTTGTTGTTTATTTATAGGCATAGCACAATGCCAAGAAAAAAATCTAGTGTTTGGAATTATTTTTTACTTTACTTTTTATTTTTTAATATTCCTATATATTAGTTACTTTGTCCCTTTTAATATTTTTTACGTAATATCTAGGATTTACTAGCAGTGAGTTTCTAATAGTAAACATTTTATTTTTATTTTGTAGGTTTCAGTTTACAATAGGAATATTCCAAAGTAAAAGATACTAAAAATAGTATTGCAGTTACATTCTTATAAACATTTTTTTTCTTAATAAAATTTGACAAAAAGTTAATGTGTTATATATGTTTGCAAATCCCTGGCATAAAAAAATATTTTCGCAATAAAAAATTTTTTTTTGAAACTTTCGGAAAATTTCGGGAATTTTCGATGGAAAGTTTCCGGGAATTTTCGTCAAATGGGAATTTTCCCATTTCTAGAAAAAAACATGAAAAAAAACTAGAAAAAAACGGTTTTTTTTGTTTTTTTTCAAAATGAAATTTTGAGTAAAATGTACCTATTAATAATAAAGTGAAATGTAGAATATATTAAATTTTTCATTATTGAAAATTTTGAGACTAAAAAATCTGATTTCTTATTATTTGGTAGTTTCCACTTTAGAAACCAATAGCAATGTAAAACACTAATACAAAAAATTAAAGTATAAAATTTTTTTTTGCGATTCTTCGGATACCTAGCTGTATCTTTGTTAAAAATGTTCGTATTGGAGCCGTAAAAAAGCAATTTGAAGCTTGAAGTTTCTAGTGTTGAGATTTTTAGATGAAAAACGTGCAACGCTCAATCCTATCGAATACCGTAATAAAAAATCATAAAAAAGTGCTTTTGGTAGCTTTTTGAAAAATCAAGCGCTGAATCAAAAATATAATATATATGTATGTAGTTACTTTTTTTTAGGACCAAATCAAAACAAGCGCGGCCCTTATTGGTCAATTCGGTGGTGGTGGCGCGTGCATAGCGCGAGACTGTATTTACATTTACTAATTGCCATTTAGTGACTAATTTTAGTCCATGAACTGGACTGGAAACATAATAAATTAGGTAAATGGGACTAATCTAAAAAAACCCAAGATGTGAAAAAAAACCATTTGAAAAAAACAATGAAATAAACCTGAAAAAAACAAAAAAAAACGGACCTTTTTTTTCAAGTCGCATCTCTACGTAACGCGTAAGTTAACTTATCTTTATTTAAGAAAAGCGAACCTTGTATTGTTTTACAGAGTTTTCTTACCTCTCCATGAGTTTTCTCCCTCTTCGGCGCGATGGCGTCCAACTCGTCGATAAAAATAATAGCCGGCGAATTTTTGTCCGCCTCCTCGAACGCCTTGCGCAAGTTGCTCTCGGACTCGCCGGCCAACTTGCTCATAATCTCGGGACCGTTGATCAAAAAGAAGAACGCACCGGTTTCGTTGGCAACGGCGCGAGCAATCAGAGTCTTGCCGGTGCCGGGGGGGCCGTACAGCAAAATTCCTCTCGGCGGCTTGACGCCGATGGCCTTGAACAGGCTGGGATGCCTCAGAGGCAGCTCGACCATCTCTTTGATCTGCGCGAGCTGCTTGCGGCAGCCGCCGATGTCGTCGTAGCCGACGGCGTTCAAGGCTTCCTCCTCCTCTTCGCGCTTGATGGGGTCTCCCTCGCAGTGGATGACGGTGTCGGGCGCGACGATGCAATACGACGCGGGGTCGGTTTCGACGACTTTGAATTCGACTGCGCGCATGCCGCCTCGCACTATGAAGACGTCGTCCTTGTGTATGGGGCGGTACGCCTCCAAGAAGTACGGTTTTAGGTACACCTCAAACAGGTTTCTGTGAAGAAAACATTCGGGTTTATTGGGAAGTTTTAAAGAAAGGCACATGCCTGTACGGGTGTGAAAACCGTTCGCTAATTGTCCCTTGATTGCTATTTGTTTTACATTTGGGTCATTCCACGTTACTCGGGGATTTTTGTCCCGCCCGTCACAATTAAAAACTGTGAGTAAAAACTAAATTTATTTTAAAATATTGTTTATTATGCTTTTATTAAGTTATAAGCACAATAAAAATAATATTATTAAAATTAATTTAATAACTTCTGGTTTTTACTCACAATTTTTAATTGCGAGTCGCAATTAAAAATTGTGACGGGCCCCATTTGTACTAAAAAACATTTCTTATAAAAATAAATAATTTTATTTAAATCTATATATAAAAAAATAAAAGCCCACCTATGATTTATAGCACTCAATTTTGCAGTATTTTGTCAAATTGCCGCCTATTGTGAACACCTGCAATACGCACGACTTATTGGCAATAGCTGAACAAATTTTTTCCCGACTCTAAAGCTTAATTTTCATGTATCCGTTTGTCCGTTATCCGTTTTTCAATCAAATCGTCCGACAAGAAATGTTCTAATTTTTATGCATACGTTTTGAATGACGTTTAACGGATTGGTTTGGTGACAAATAAAAACGAAGCGTTAGTATATCCACTTCACTAAATTTACCTAATGCTTTACAATTATGTCAACAGTTGTAACTTTAACAGTTATATGTCTAATAAATTTAAAGGTAGGTAAATATACCATATAAAAGGAATATACTAGCCTTTTTAAATTTGATTATTTAATAAATATTTATTAACATTCATATTTAATAAATAAATTAATTGTTTCCAAATAAATGAATTTATTAATAAGCAAGCTGCCTATAGACCCCCTCCCCCCTGTATAAGCGAAAATACGAAAATCTTGAAGAATTGTTTTCAAAACTTTTATTAAATATTAACATTTAAAAAACTTAATTATTTTTAGAATAAAATTACTTTTTTATAAAATCAGAAAATTAAAGATTGGTTGAAATATTGTTTTGAAAACATTTTCATTATTATCATGCGTAAAATCTATGATATTCCCCCGCCACCTTTGTCAGCAAAAGAGAACAAATTGTACCCCTCCGCCCTTAACTAGCTTCTGTAAAGCCTGTATAACAGTCTGCAACTCTACGTGCAATAATCTTGCACGAAGGCATGCGACGTTTCGTGCAAGTTTATTGCCGCTTCAAATTATCGGTCCTGCTCGATTTTTATTGCCAGTTCGGTTGGAATCATGCAAGTTGAAATTGGAATTGCAAAGTGTTTTTGCAGACTGTAATACGGGCTTAAGACTAAAATAAATTTTCTCAAAAACATTTTTCGTTTTTAAAATAAATATTGTTTTTTTGTAATTACCACAGTTTATTTAGAAAATTTTATTTTTTTCTGATACTTTTCCTATAAAGAATAGAATAATAAAAAGAGAATAAGACTAAATTAAAAATTAAGTAATACCTAAAAATACTTGGTGTATGATAAATGTATAGGAAATTGCTTATCTTCACATTTTTATCATGGCAATAAAATTTAAAAATGCGGTGTCTAATTTACTAGAGAAGAATAAAAAGACAAACATTTTCTTGAAATAAAAATAGTAGTTATCCAAGGTGTCCCTAAACTTATTGGCATTATTTTAGGAAAAGATTGAGCAAGTAAAAATAAGACGAAAAACTACATAAATATTTTTCCTAATTACTTATGTTTCCAAGATACAGGGTGATAAAGTGTTACTTATCAAATCAGTTTTTTTAAATATATTATAGTAGCCTTGGAAAGGTGACAGTCACTTACTACCAAAACACATATTCACGCATAATTACAATTGTTTAAGTGAACACAGTGTCGTAGAAACGGGGGTTGCTTTAAGCTTATTGTCCCATACAAACTTTGAGGTTTGTTTTTTTTTAACATTTGATGCAATTTTTTGATTATAGTTCGGCTACCATAAAAAAAGATGTACCTCTCAAACTTCGATAAAATAAACCGTTTCCGAGATATTCGAGATCACAATAATTGTTATATCGCATTATTTAAAAGGATTAAAAGGTATATGATAACAAATTTTATTTTTTAATTGATAAAACTAAAAAGGGCATTCCATGAGTCTCAGGACTTTTTGCCCCATTAAAAAAATTGATATCATATACATTTTAGTTCTTTAATGCGATATAACAATTATTGTAATCTCGAATATCTCGGAAATGGTTTATTTTATCGAAGTTTGAGGTACACCTTTTTAATAGTAGCTGAACTGAGTAATCGAAAAATTGCATCAAATGGTATAAAAACCTAACCTTAAAGTTTGTATGGGACAATAACCTTAAGCAACCCCTGTTTCTAAGACACTTGTGTGAATATGTGTTTTGCTAGTAAGTGACTGTTCGCAAAATATCACCTTTCCAAGTCTACCATAGTAGAAGTTATTTTAAAAAAACTGATATGATAAGTAACACTTGTATCACCCTGTATCTTTTAAACATACGTAATTAGGAAAAATATTTATTTCTATTTTCGTCTTATTTTGACTTGCTTAATCTGATACTAAATTTATGCCACTAAGTTTAGGGACACCTTGTATAGTAGTTATTTTAATATTAACTGTTTAGTCTTAAAATCTCATAAAATAAAATTTTACACATTATGACGAATTTTATTTTTGCTGAAATTGTATTTTTCAACATTCCAGCTATTCTAAAAATAGAAAATGTTATACAGGGTATCCCAAAAATAGACCTCCATACCACGCGGTTGTTTTCTAACAACTAGTTTTTGAGTTTTTAAGAATTTAAGTTTAAAAAGTTTGTCAAAGCTAAAATATTTTTACACATCTAAAAAGAGTTCTTATGAAAACAATTTAAATAAGAGATTGACTGTTGTAACTTTTGTCAATAAATTAACAAAATTTGTTAATGTTAACTTTTTATTTTTGAAATGTCATTAGTAAATTGTTTTTTATCTCTATAAAAAATACAGCAGTTTTTATTTAATTAAGTATGAAAATGGCGCACAAACGCCATTATAAGGATATTATAATTATAAATGTCACAAATATTTGCGTCAAATATTGCAATATCGTTTTTTCTCCTTATTTAATTATTTCTGTAAATAATGGTTACATAATGAATTTGCAAACAAATAAGAAATAAAAAAGTGTTTAATTATGAAAAGATTAGTACACTGCTCTTCAAAAAAGTTTTACATTTTTGTTTTGTTTTATTGCCTTATTTTTTATATTAGTGTATTAACTAAACTTTTGTTTTAAAATCAAACATTAAAAAAAATACTAATACTAAAAATAAGAAAACTTGGACTTTTGCCATTTTTCAAACTTAAAAAAATTTATCTTGGATTCAATTATTAGAATGTAATTAAAGCAAATTAACATTAAATAATTAAATAATATTTTTAACATATTTAGAAAATACCTTAAAATATAGACATTTATAATGATTTTAAAATATTTTGAATTGTTTTGATTTTCAACCATCCCACTGAAATTTAAAAATAGACCTTGATATATTCCTTATTTTAAAACAGTTTTACACTATAAATATTTAAATTTAGCACGAATTTATCACATAATAACACTGCAATCTTAATGTAACCTTAGGGGAATTACCATATTAACTAATAACATAAACCATAGACCAAACAAAGCTAGAGGGGAATCACACAATAAAAACTACATTCTTACCCTGTGAGTCCCTCAACAGTGTCATCAATGGGCAAAACATGGATCCTCTTGCCATATTTAACATCAGGACAGGGCTGAATACTGACCACATCAGACAATCGCACCCTGAGATTGTTCCTGACATTTCTGTTCATGCGAATTTTTTCGTCGCTACACGTGTCGTCCGACAATACTATGCACACCGTTTCTTTCCGGCGTTTACCCTTTAAAAGCACAGTATCACCTCGAAACAATTGGAGCTCATCCATTTTTGCTTGGGACAGAGACACAACGGAATTGTCATCGTTGATTGCCTCTTCCACTAGAAGCCTGTTTGGCTTGTCCTTTTTGCGCAGAATGGCTGTTGCCAAATCATCAGGACTATAGAAAAAATTGAATTAAATTAACATTTTTAATGTATGTTTGTCCTTTACTATTAATATTCTAGATATTGTGCATGGCAATATAGTAAGGTTATGTTCAAAATCAGCACCAATCAGATTCTTAAAACTGTTTTTAATTACTTTTGGGAAATCTGATTGGCTCTGACAAATACACGAATCTTGTTGGAACGTATTGTTTTCATCATCAAATATTTCTTAAAAGCTTAAATCATACAAACAAAGAACTTTTCATGGGAAAATTCAGACATTTTTTATGTAGATTACACAAAAATGTTTATAACTTAACAGTAAATATTTGTCTTTAAATCTAGTGAAAAAGTTAATAGGAATGCTTTGTTTTTAATATTATTGGTTAAAAGAATGCGTAGTTTGGATAAAATAGTTATTTTGCAAAAAAATAATGTGTATAATGACAAAGAAAAGCCATTAAAAAAGATGCACTTGTAAAATATCCCACAAGAAAATATTAATTTAATCATTTTCCGACAAAATCAGTCTTATTGCGTCGTTTTGTATGCCTCCCTTGGCTTAAAAACCACATACAAATAATATCGAAACTTTTTCGTTCCTCCATGATGACATGTACAAAAATTAAACGGTATTTATCAAAGATACCGGCTTAGCCGGCAAAATAAAATCAATATTCTTACCCTTTTACGTCCGTTGACATTGTTGTGATTTCGTTAAAATTTCTTCTAATAAAATGCTATGCCTAAATTTTACCACAATCGACTTGTAATTAAACGCAAAATTCTATGACTGACGATCGTTAGGAATGACGTAGCCTTTTCGAGTAAAAATGACAGCCGACAGTCAAACAAGCAGAGTTGCCAGAAGGATTATTACTTCAACGGGACACAGCAGATTTGCCTATTTAAATAACATACAATCTGCTACAAAACATTACACTCGGCAACAATGCAAACAAGTGATCCAGCGAATTTTGATCGGCAAAGTAGAAAGCTACCTCACAAAATTCCAGAAAAATCCTGCATTATTAAAGAAAATTAAAAAATAACACAAAAGTTTAAAATCGCACAACTGCGCTTATTGCTTTTGAATACAATGTTTACTTGTTTAAAAAATCAAAATAAAAATATATGGTGGCGCCCCTAGTGTCACTTTACAGCAACTCATTTGACAGCTCTTTCATTTGTGTATTTACTTTTGCAATTTTAGCTGGAAAATCGTATTTTTTAATGTCCTTTGCGGGAGAATTGCATTTTTTACTGATGCGAGAGTTCTAAACTGTGTTTATACTATTAAACAAGAATCTCCACGATGGCTGGCATAAAAGGTAGGCGTTAAATTAATTAATCAGTTATAACAATAACCTTTAGGGAATCAATGAAAAAGAGATTTTGTGTTGTGATTCATTGGTGTATTTTTATGTTAATTGGGTTTTTGGGGTGAATGTTATAGAAAGATTTAAGAATTTAATCAATTGAAAGAGCGTGCATTGTTTCCAGTTTTATCTACTTTTTTTATAATTCTTTATTTGATTAGGTTACTTATATCAAGTACTTAGGGTGACCAGAATTTAATAACGCCAAAGGAGGACATTAGTCGTTTTAAAAAAATATAAATTTATAAAAAAACATAAAAACATAAACATTATTTTTTAAAATATAACTACATTTATTTAGTTTTTTAGGTAAAATTTTGACTAGAAGTTATTTTTTTAAGCAAAGGTTCGTTCAATGCGAACATTTCTGAAAAATCGTTGCAATTCATGCTTATAATGGCTTTTCTATAATAGAATATTAATTGTCATTGTAGCATTTGTATGGTAGGCAATATTTCTTTTTAAATTTTGACATGGTTTTGTTATCTATGGTTGGCATCACAATCCACACAACAAGGTCTGTTCGATCTCATAGTAAAAATACTAAAAATCACTGCAACACTGCACATCATACGATGGCGGCCATTTTTGTTGTTTACAATTCTTGTGCTTTGGGTTTGTACAGATTAATAATCGTTTTAAACGTTGTGTTTCTTACAGAGAGACTTGCAAGCCTTAAAAGAGTCCTCAAAGTGGTAAGAACAATCATTTTACTCCTCTTTTGTAAAGTGTCAATTTGAAGGTTAATTTAAGGTTATTTTATAACCCACAAATTAACCTTCAAATTGACATTTGACAGCCCTGATAGAATAAGGTTTATTTTTTACAAAAGAGGAGTAAAATGATTGTTCTTACCACTTTAAGGTCTCTTTTAAGGCTTGCAAGTCTCTCTGTAAGAAACACAACGATTATTAATCTGTACAAACCCAAAGAACAAGAATTGAGGAACGATTATAATTGTAGCACCCGGACAATAGAGTAATTGCATCAAAAATTAAAATCCTTAAAAACCTTTTTATTGTAATCTAGAGGTAAAAACACATTGCGAAAATATTTTTTTATATTCCAAAAGTTCAACCCGGCCCCAAAATATCAAATTGAAAAAAAGGTAATTTTCAAACGTTCCGAACTCCCGCCATATTGCATGACGTCATAAGCTTCACCAGCTGTCAGAAATCAAGATGTCAACAAATAATAAACACCGGTAAAGTTTATGTTTAACATGGAAAACGCGAAACCAAAAATTGGTTGTAAATATTGTTTTGTGCCTTGTACAAATACAACCTGGAAAACTCCTGGGAAAAGGTTTATCACCGTGCCAAAAGGTAAAATAAGGATAAAGTGGATTAAAATAGCTCGGCGCGATATCAAAACATCGTCACCATTTTATTGCTCATTTTAAGGATCATTTTAATGTAAGTAAAATAAAATGTCGTTTACTAGGTATATGGTTTGAATAGGTATGTTAAATATTAATAAATTCAAGAAAATACGGTTGAGCCGTAACTACTCTCAGTGTAGGGTCATAAACTTTGCTTTTGATAATTGAAGGGACAACTTTCCCAGGAGTTTTCCAGGTTGTATTTGTACAACAAGGCACAAAACAATATTTACAACCAATTTTTGGTTTCGCGTTTTCCATGTTAAACATAAACTTTATCGGTGTTTATTATTTGTTGACATCTTGATTTCTGACAGCCGGTGAAGCTTATGACGTCATGCAATATGGCGGGAGTTCGGAACGTTTGAAAAGTACCTTTTTTTCAATTTGATATTTTGGGGCCGGGTTGAACTTTTGGAATATAAAAAAATATTTTTGCAATGTGTTTTTACCTCTAGATTACATTAAAAAGGTTTTTAGGGATTTTCATTTTTGATGCAATTACTCTATACCATGTTGCCAAATGTACAACTTATTTGACGACTCCTAATGGCCTCTATTCCTCAATGGGGCGGGGGGGGCCAATGGGGTGGGGTCGGTTGGGTTGGGTTGTTGAGTTTGGGTTGGTTTGGGTTGGTTTCGCTCACTGTCAATCAACTTAAATGGGCAAAAGTGAGCGAAACCAACCCAAACCAACCCAAACTCAACAACCCAACCCAACCGACCCCGCCCCATTGAGGAATAGAGGCCATTAGGAGTCATCAAATAAGTTGTACATTTGGCAACATGGTATTGTCCGGGTGCTACAATTAATCGTTTCTCAAGAATTGTAAACAACAAAAATGGCCGCCATCTTATGATGTGCAGTGTTGCAGTGATTTTTAGTATTTTTACTACGAGATCGAACAGGCCACAATCCACACCACAAGGTCTGTTCTATCTCGTACTAAAAATACAAAAAATCACTGCAACACTGCACAGTCGCGGCCATTTTTGTTGTTTACAATTTTTGTGCTTTGGGTTTGTGCTCTGTTTATACAGATTAATAATCGTTTTAAACGTTGTGTTTCTCATAGTAAGCCTTAAAAGAGTCCTTAAAGTGCTAAGAACAATAAACATAAAACTGTCAAATGTCAATTTTAAGGTTAAATTATAACCCACAAATTAACCTTCAAATTGTCATTTGACAGCCCTGATAGAATAAGGTATATTTATTATAAGAGGAGTAAAATGGTTGTCCTTAGCACTTAAAGGCCTTATTTGAGGCTTATAAGTGCCTCTGTAAGAAACACAACGTTTAAAACAATTATTAAACAGCACAAACCCAAAGCACAAGAATTGTAAACAACAAAAATGGCCGCCTTTAAACTCTGTGCAGTGATTTTTAGTATTTTTAGCATGAGATAGAACAGACCTTGTTGTGTGGATTGTGGAACACCTTGTTTTGTTGGTTGTGGAACAGACCTTGTTGTGTGGATTGTGGCTGGCATATGATTTTTACCAAAATATTTAAAAATGGCAAGACGTTTTTGTTGTTTCTAGTCCAGTCAAAAAATATTACTTGTTGTCTACCCACTAAGAGCTGAACCACAAAAATATGTTTCAAATCTTTAAAAGTAGGTGTTGTCCTCGCAGGAGGACGTCTGGGCACCCTATATCAAGTGTATTAAGATTTCTGATATTATGGATCAATATTTGAAATTATTCCAATTATTGTTATCAATAACAGCAATAATTTATAAATTTACTATATTAAATGGTTGATAGTTGAATATGAATAATATTTAATAGTAAGAAAGGTGCAATGAATGATGAAGAATGTTGGTGCTGTGTTAAATATATTTAGTTTAGTTTTTAGAATAGAAAATTGATAAAAAGAGTTGTTTTCACGACTAATTAAACATTTTTGTTTCATTTCCATGGCCTTTTCTTGGACCATAAATAGCGTAAGTAAAATAAATATAAATTAAAAACTAATATTTCTTTAAAATCAGTTCCATTTGAAGTCAAATTTCATGGTTTATTAGGTTTAAAAAGATAAAAATGACAAAAGTTGTTGAGATCAAGAAAAATAGAGAAGGACTAATTAGTTAGTTTGCTAGGTCACTGACCTAAGGTCAGTAGTAACCTACGGATGCGCAAAATGTTTGTGCGCACGCTGTGTCCGTGAATAACAGCTATGCGCGGTGAGCACTTTGCGCATCCGTAGGTCCCCTCGCACGCCATTATTTAGTCTTCGTGGTCAAGACTTAACAATATCAAAAACATATTAAACGGTCAAAAACTTATTTTTATAATGTACCTACTATCCCCCACACCCAAAAGTTTCACCTTTACGTTTGAATACAAATAATCAGGGTTGGCAAAAACCCGGGTTGAATGAATATTCTTAACTTTTGGTAATGTTTGCTCAAAACTAAGAAACAGGCTAAAATCAGAAAAAGTTAAAAAATTGGTACAAATTTATCATTACCACTATAATGGCGGCAATGATGGAAGATTAGACTGATATTGTAATACCATACCAAAATGGTATTTAATGTATAAGACTAAAGAGGGTGGATTGAAGAAACAATATCTACTGTTAATTTGTTTTTCTACTCCTATTACGGAATTTGACCCTTCTAATATCACTTTTATCTATGGAATGACATATATTCCGTAAAGTATTACAGAATGAAATATTCTATCATCTGATGACAGAATAAACACTCGTGGCGACATGTCTGTTTTTAATATCTAACAAATTTTAGACCGATCCAACCTCACTTTCTTCCAAATAAATTATTTTTCTATGGTATTTTTTGGAAACGTAGAAAAAGTATAGTCTAAAACACGTTTGGAATTGCATATTCCGCTCTCGTGAAACCGTCAAACTCGCCTTCGGCTCGTGTGACAAACTCTTCACTCCAGCGGAATATGCTGTATTCCAAACTACAGAATAAACTACAGAATATACTATTTTCATCTATGTTGACTTCAAAATTCAAATAGCTGCTAGATACGTTATTTATTTTGTTTCCAGAACAACCCTTCACAGTAAGAACACAAGGTTGCCAAGTTTTTTAAACGTTTTTTAAGGCCTAATTCCTTGAAAATTGCTTGTTAAAAAAATTGTGTTATTTTTATAGGTACCTACTAAAACTAACTATGTGCGCAATTTTCGAAACGCATATTAAATTGAAATTTGAACTAAATCTGATTTCACATGGAACAATCTTATTAAATCTCTAAACCCTAAAAATAAAACATATTTTTTTATAGTTTGGTAACATTAGCATTTGCTGGATCAATTGGCATGACTTTAGTCATATTGGCCTGCGCATTACCCCAATATAAAAAGTAAGTACTACAACATAAACCCCTGTGTAACGCCATAAATTCTTTAATTACTTTTTTCCAGATTATGGTGGCCTTTTTTCGTAGTTCTTTTTTACATATTAGCCCCCATTCCAACCCTAATCGCGCGAAGATATTCCGAGAATTCAGGAGGTTCCAGCAACTCGTGTCTTGAATCAGCAATTTTTATTACGATGGGTTTTTTGGTTAGCGCCTTTGCACTGCCCATAGTGTTGGCAAGGGCGTCCGTAATAGCAGCTGGGGCCTGCTATTTAACCCTGGCAGGAAACGTGGTTGTTTTCGCAACTTTATTGGGATTTTTCCTTACATTCGATCAAGATGACTCTGACTATAATATGTGGTAAACGAATAGGTTTTAGAGTGTAACTGTATTTAATAATTTAATATTAATGTTTAGTTTATTTTGTAAGTCGAATAAATTAATGTTATAAAGTATTTTGTTTTTATTGCATAACACATTTTAGTTAAAGAAAAATATATTAATATTATTATTTTAATTAATCAACAGGGTATAAATGTAATTTCAATGGTTCATCAATTCCATAAAGTAACTTCATTGCAAATTTGATGTCTTTATGTGGCCATTGTACCTCGAAATTTCGTATAGTCTAAAACAATTTTTAATTAATATTTCTACATTTTCGTTTATTTACTTTTTTTACTTTTAATATAGCTGTTTCCATCTCTAAATTTGCAAGCCTTTTTCCAATACAAGATCTCGGACCAAATCCAAAAGGCATAGACGTAAAGGGGTGCACATTTTTGTAAGAAATTTCAGAATTTTCGTGATTCCTTAACCATCTTTCTGGTAAAAATTCTTCCGCTCTTTTTATGTATTTTTCCGTACGGGCTACTAGAAGGTTTGCCGCCACTATCATAGTCTAAAAATGTAAAAATAAGGAGGTTTTAATGGGCATAAAATCTTATCTAAAATTACTCCTTTTGGTATTTGGTACCCAGCTATAACAGCATCTTTGGGTAACATTCTAGCATTTCCCCCAGTGACTGGAGCCAATCGGGTTGTTTCTTTAATAACTGCTCTAGTATAAACGGCTTCGTTTAAAATTTCCTTGGTTATTTTGGACTTTTTGTCGGGCAAAAGTCTTTTGGCTTCCTCCCTAAGCAAATCTTGTTTTTTTGGGTTTTTGGCTAAATAGTACAGGGCTGAAGAAAGAGTTCTGCTTGTCTAAAAAATAAATGATTGTTTAAGTAAGTAAACTATTGTGGGAATTTTAATTACCGTGTCCACACCAGCAAATAACATATCCATGACCATAGCCAAGGCGATTTTCTTATCAATCTTAACCAGTTTTTCCAAAACACTCATTTCATTTATATCTTTAGATGGATTTTCTTCGATTTTTTTCATTGCCTCGTCTATACATTTTAGGTTAAAGCTAAAATTATTATAAAGTATGAAACAAAAAGCAATAATTTATATTTTACTCTGTCATAAAGTTCATATGTTTGACAAACGACCTCCATTTTGGAGTGCTTATAGTCTCCCAAGCAGACGGCAGTATCTCCAAATGATAAAACAACTCGAAAATCTCCAAAACACTTTCCACATACTGATTTTGAGGCGAGTCCTTTGGCAAATTTGGGTCCAAACAACCTAAAATAATTATAAACAAGTCCAGCCTTAACACTATACATTTGGGTAAAACAATTCAAAATATTGTTTAAAATTGAAACGCATGGGGACTAAATATTAAATATTACTGTCCGAGGTTTTTTCACAAAATGTCCGTTTTTTAATATATCATTCATTCTTCTTCATCTATGTTGTTTCCATTAGGTTACAATCCATACATTGTGCATTAGGTATTACACTTCTTTCAATCCCCGAAACATAACGAGGTACTTAATTTTTCGAATAGCAATGCATTTTTAATCTAATCTATGCTTGTAAAACGATGAGGGTCTTTTGTGATTTAAAAAGTTACACGGGGCCTGCCTAACAAATATGGAGGGATCATTACGGTGTTAAAACAAAAATTTGCAAACAAAAAATTGTGATTTTTTTATTCATACACGAAAACAGCATGGAACTTTTCGGTAATACTCTTTATTAATCGTTTAACATTTCTTCCACGTTTTTATCGGATGTTGATGTCATTTTCACTTTTAACGGCCATATCGGAAACTCTTATACAGTGAACGCAATCAAAGAACTACATGTACGTCATCACTTTTCTGCGCCAATCCAACTATTGCAGAGGTTTAGCTAAAACCTTATTTGCTTTGATTAAAATTAAATAATACAGGGTGCGGCAAGTTAATTATCTTATTTTGATTGAATGCACTGTAGTTTATGGCGATCCTATAAGAGTGGGGGTGGTCTTATTCGACGGCGCAGGTCTTAAAGTTTTATTTCCCTTCGGTCCAATTGTCATCATGCGTGTTTGCCGTCGAGGCGTACTTTTCTAACGGTGGTTCGGTAATTTCAACCCAGCGCGCCTTCCGCAATCGCTTCAATATTGCGCCCCTAGGCAATGTCCCGGTAAGGGCATCAATTATTTTGTGGGTTAGCACGTTTAGGGAAACAGGAAGCGTGCAGAAGAGAGAAAAAGTGGAGGCGCAAGGCCAGTCAGTTACTGTTAATTCAGTCCGATATGTTAACATGCTTGAGGAATTTTTTTTGCCACGAATTGCTGAAATGAACCTTGGGAACATATGGTTTCAGCAGGATGCGTCTTTTCGACTAAATTTTTGGACAGTAGGTATTATACTCAAATAATCAAATAATTTATGGTGGCCTATTATACTCAAATAATCAAATAATTTATGGTGGCATAAATTAATTAAATGCTAATGGTCTATGAGGATACCGCGTACACCTCGGTAGAGACGGCGATCATCTGGCTGATAGTTGAGGGCACTCTGCAGTGTCCTGGTGGTAATGTACTTGCTTATCGATGGAATCTTGAGCTCCTCTTTGAGTTGTGAGTTCCTGACGAACCAAGGAGCTCTAGTAATATTTTTCAGGAACTTATTTTGCAGTATTTCTAAATTGTTGATAGGGATTTTTGCTCCAGTTGCCATGCGTTGTCAGCATACATGGCAATAGGCCTGAGTATCGAAGTCCAGACAATTCTTTTGTTTTTAGATGAAAGGAGCGAACCGTTGTATGGTGTATAAGTTTAAAAGTTTTGTATCCAGCACGGAGCCCTGACCCCAGCTTTGATTGGATGAATTTTTTAATGGGCAATTTTGGTGGAGAATTCCTTGTTGTGGAGCTATGACGCTATTAGTTTGATAATGGAGGCGAAATTTTCATATTATTATTTTTTTAGAAGCAGACGTGCCATATTTTATCCACCACACCAAATTTTTTGTCGAAAATCGAAGCCTTGGTTTATGGTCTCAGTAATTCTCAGCAACTGCAGCTCAGTAGAGAGCTGCGGCCTGAAATCAAATTGCTTGTCAGGGAATACATGTCTGTCCTCTATCTTCTCTTTCAGGCGGAACTTGATTTATTTATCCAGGAGCTTAGCAACTGCGGGAAGGAGGGAGATTAGTCTATAGTTTCTTGGAAGCTGTCTTGATTTGGTTGGCTTTGGGATCATAATGACTTGGGCGCGTTTCCAGCAAGTCGGGAAATGTCCGATCGTAAACACTCCATTTAACAGGGTAGTGAGATGATTGCTTGATTCGTAATTTTATCTCCCTGGTGAGACTTAATTTTTTAGGTTAATTGGCGTAATTGTCTAAAGGTACTGCTCTGTTAGGAATTTCTCCACTCACACATCGCTTGGTCTTTCTGTAAATATCTCTGGAAAGCAGTGTTAACTGTAAATTGCTGCAAAACAGATGCAAAGCATGCTGCATTTTCACAATTTTGGCAGTTTAAGCCTTTGGGTCCCTATAAGGGCTGGTTCATGATTCTTTAATCTCTTAATTATTCTTCAGATGTCATTATTAAATGTTGGGTCAAGATTCAAGATTTTAAAGGGGTTCCTTCCATTTTTAGATGCGATGTTCCTTCATCAGATTTTGACTCTTCTTCATTGGATAATATCCTGTCAGCGGAATAGAGCTTTTAATATCCCTAGAGATTTTGTAAGGGCAGGATATGGGAACAGACTAGGGAACTACATCTAAATCTACAGCTGTTCGAGGGCGTAAGAGATTTAAAGAGAAATAGCCTCAGCTAGAGTGTCCACCAGTTCTGAAGAAGCAGGAGAGTAAATCGGGCCATAGTTGAAAAGTCTCCAGTTTATTTAGGCAATAATTTTGCGGCTATTCACTAAGTGAAAGGGCCCACGTTGGTACATTTGGCGTTTTCAACTTAAAAAATATATAATCTTCCAAACATCTTTTTAATGGTGATATTATTAGCTTTACTTTGCAAGAAAAATTAAAATCGCGTATGTAGCTGTTGTGGAGATATACACTTAAATGTATTTTTTTTTATAAATTATTGCGCAACAGTAGCCAACTTATTCATGGAAGATATAGAAGTACGAGCAATCGAAACGGCAACATTAAAATCAAAGTTAGAAGACATATTTATTATCTGGACCCACGGAGAAGCGGAAGTGAAGAAATTCCTGGACCATCTCAACGGAATTTCCAAAAAGATTAAGTTCACAATGGAAAACGAGAAAGAACACCAATTACCTTTTCTAAATGTCTTCATAATCAAGAAAAATAATGGCAAATTAGGACACACGCCCAGTCTCACCACCACCCGTCACAACTGCAGTCAGTCATTAAGACACTTGTCACGCGATCCCAAAGGCTGGCGGATGATGACCACAAGAAACAAGAATACCTGAAAATCCAAACGACGCTACAGCAAAACTGATTCTCCAAAACCATAATCAAAAAGGCTCTTAGACCACGACGCCGGTTAAATACCACAGAAGACGGAACAACAAACCAACTTCGAAGGCCTTCCTTCCCTACGTGAAAGGGACAACCGAGAGAATAGGCAAAGTTCTCAAAAAACATAACATTGAGACAACATTTACCGCCCCAAGAAATACTTCCAAACAACAAACCAAAAATAGAGTATTGTGACGGAAGCTACGTGGGACCGACCAAAAGACGTATCAACCTTAGACGCGAAGAACATCGTAACGCAGTCTTGAAACCATAAAAACATCTTCTTTAGCTGAACACGTCCGAAAAACTTCTCATGAAATTGACAAGGGTCTTGGCTAGCGTCATTAAACCACCTCCCCACTACCTTCCCTGTCTTGGGAGGTTATAAACAAAGACGCAGTCTCTAGTTTTAAACATGGTAGTCAGTGAATTAATTCCTAACCAATGGCCGGATTGGGACAATAGCTAGGGGGGGGTAAAATTCTACCTACATTTCTTGGATTTTTTATTTTCATTTTTTTATTGGTAAATATTACAAAATTTGCTTATACAAGTCATAAAAAAAGTATGGTACACAATATATGTTATTATAAAAATACTTAGAAACTAACAAATAACACTGTGCAACACAAAAAATGAACTGGGATCAAATCTGAAAAAATCGAATCTAGGCAACCCCCAAAACAAATCCTTTAAGGGGTTTTACCAGTTTAGCTCGAATAATGGAGATATACATATATATATGTACAGGGTGTTTCTTTTAACTTGAGACAGCTCAATATCTCGAGAAATACACATTTCACGAAAAAATGTCTTAAATAAAAGGTTAATGTGACTAAAGGGGACATTATTTGGTGCTACCGCTAGCCACCCCCTACCCCTCCTTAAGGGTGAAACGAAGGGTAACTTTGGAAAGTCAAATGGAATGACCCGATTTTTTACACAGAGTTTGGTAGTACATAAAAAAATAAATAACTTTTATTTAAAACTTTTTTCAATTTATCAACAGATGGCGCTGTAATTCAAAATTTAAGAAAAATGAGTTTCCTTGTAAAATGTATTATTTGAAACGTTTGAAAAACAAAAATTAACATTAACAACAATAGTCGGCTATGAAAACAATTTATAACAAATGTCCTCATTCCATTTCAACACATTTTTGAATGCGGGTAATAAATTCTGGCACACAACGCGCCAACATATCGGGCGGTATCGCCGCACAGGCGTTCCTGATCCGCTCCACCATGTCCTCCCAAGTTGTAGGAATTGCAGCGTAAACTTTTTCTTTCAAGTAACCCCACTGGAAGAAGTCTGGTGGCGTAAGATCAGGTGATCGAGCAGGCCAAATTACTGGACCACGTCTACCGATCCACCGCGGTGCACCGGCCATTGAACTCCCGATCCAACACCTCTCTAGCAATTGTCGAATAATGTGCAGGACAACCATCTTGCTGGTACCACATGTTTTGGAGCCGTGATAGTGGTACATCCTCCAAAAGGTCCGTCAGATCGTTTTCTAGAAAATTCCGGTACTTTTCGCCATTTAATGCACCGTCAATAAAGAAGGGTCCGATTAATCGTTCGCTTAAGGTACCGGACCAAACGTTTACCGACCAGGGACGCTGGTGCTCCACTTGGTGTCGAAATGGAAGGACGACATTTCGAACATTTGTTATAAATTGTTTTCAGAGCCGACTATTGTTGATTTAATGTTAATTTTTGTTTTTCAAACGTTTCAAATAATACATTTTACAAGGAAACCCCTTTTTCTTAAATTTTGAATTACAGCGCCATCTGTTGATAAATTGAAAAAAACTTTCAAATAAAAGTTATTCATTTTTTTATGTACTACCAAACTCTGTGAAAAAAATCGGGTCATTCCATTTGACTTTCCAAAGTTACCCCCCGTTTCACCCTTAAGGAGGGGTAGGGGGTGGCTAGTGGTAGCACCAAATAATGTCCCCTTTGGTCACATTAACCTTTTATTTAAGACATTTTTCCGTGAAATGCGTATTTCTCGAGATATTGAGCTGTCTCAAGTTAAAAGAAACACCCTGTATATCTCCATTATTCGAGCTAAACTAGCAAAACCCCTTTAAAGATTAGTTTTGGGGGTTGCATAGATTCGATTTTTCCACATTTCATCCCAGTTCAAATTGTAAGGTCAAAATTTGTCGCACAGTGTAATAGTAAAAAATGTCCCTGACTGGGATAAATTTAAAATGTATTAAAACTCAAAATTACTATTGAGGTATTCCTTAAAAGAGTAAAATGCATTTATCAATGAATTAGTTTTTAATTAATTTTTTATTAGTTCTCTCTTACCAAGATTTGTAATTTGTGCAGAAAGTACATTTGATTTCATAGTAATCTGCACACCGCGGTGCACCGCCTTGATCTGTGATAGGTGGGAACTAAATTATACCTGTTTCTAGTACTACAATAGTAAACGTCAGTGTGGAATTTTGATTGATTTTTTTTTACATGGACCAGACAGTAGAAACAGTGACTGTATTTGAGTCCGTTTATTCTGACGCATCGCCGTTGCATTTTGATTTTTATTATAAACATGGTAGCCAGCGAATTATTGCTTAACCAAGAAATAAACCATACTACTTATTTAATTAAGTAAAAAGGTATAATTACCAAGACATAATAACTGAGAAACGATCAAACTATTATTATTTAAATTAGGTATGAAATCTAATAACCTGAATTCACCCTGTCTTAGTACCTATAGGTATACCTTTTTTATTTTCATTATTTTGAAACATTTGCTTACAAATTAGAATTGGGAATTTTACTAGAGTGTACAGGTACACTCTAAATATAATGTAATATCGAAAAATAAAAAAAATAATATCGTATTATAATATTAAAAATATTAATATAATTGTAAAATTAATTTTAATATTATTTTAAATTATAATCATTTAATAATTAAAATATAATAGCAGAGATCGATTGCCAGTGAATAACGATCGCTTCTAAATTTTCAAATAATGGACTCGTTCCACAATTTTAACATCTGCGCATCTATGACGTACATGTGGTACATAATGTGGTAATTACCACTCGCCAAAAGCAATAATAAATATGTATAAAACATTGCTGCACTTTATTCCATTTTTTTAACAATTAAAAATCGCGGATCATAACCGTTTAGATAGCTGACAACATGCTAAACATCCCATATGGCTACTAGCAATGTGCAAAATGGTAGCCATTGGCAATTTGCACATGCTCTTTTGACATGTTTACGGTAAACAGTTTACCAATCCAACAACAAAAAAAAATGTCGCGAATCAAACTAAACAACCAGAAAAAACTTTTCAAACACACCTCGTACACTGCATACCTAATCGTTGATCTAAAGCGATGGCACCAATAGACTCCATAGCATATTTGTTCAAATAAACATTAAAATTATCAGGCATTTGTTTGCTTTGTTTTTGAAAATGTTTCAACAAATCCACGAATTCGTTTGTTATTTTATCTATGATGTTAACGTATTGAGCTGCTGTTTTTGGCTGCATTAAGATCGGGTTTACTACTGTGCGAAATTTTGACCACTCTTCACCATTACTACAATAAAATGCATTATTTTTTATGATTTGGTGTTTTTTGTATTTTTTTACGATGATAATAATCCTTGTACACCTTGAAACACCTCTGGTCTTATATTTGTTCTAAAATATGGTAGTGACTTAAGGGTTGGTCTTAGAGGCCAAACACCTTCATTTCTGTGCATCTTAAAATTAGTTTTAAATAAATTTCGTAAACAATTTATTCTGCTATAACTTACAACTTCAATATCTTGTGGGTCAAAGGAAAGATACAGGTTCTTAGTACTTCCAGGCATTCCTCTTAACGCAACAAAATTGCCATGTCTCTTACGCATCCTAAAAGTTTTCCGTGTAAATTGTTTACATGATGAAAAAAAATACATACATTTGGTGCAGCTCCGTAAGAGACATATTGTAGAACTCACCCCCTGGGAAAAATTTATACCCATTACCCACTATGGGTAAAGGTTTTGGACCTGGGACACTTTCAAAGGGTTTCGCTTCATCCCATCCTATCGGTTTTGTGTTCACTTCATTTTCTTGAAGGTTCTTTTGTTTTAAATATTCTTGTGTTTTCGTTGATACCGTCGAAAATGACCTTCTTAATGTATTAGTGTTGTAAAGTAAATTTTTTGTTAACATTTTGCTTCTTCCAAACACAAATAAAATACAAGCACCTATTTAACTAATTTAAAATAATTGATAAACTAAATATATATATATATATATATATATATATATATACACAAATGTAAACAATAAAAAATAAAAACCGAGATATCACCGAGTGCTTCTATTAAATTAATGATTATTTGATTGACCTTGTATTTACAACATAATTGCTTTTCCTACTCCCACTTTTGAAACGCCCATTATCGTACATGTTTCCATTACACTTTTGAATACACCACGGTGTGCTTAGCACTGATTCAACCCATGAACTTCTGCACATCTGAGATTTTTTTAAATTCTGTATCTGCATGACCTAGAATTATTTTAACAATAAAAATTAAAATCTTCGGCGGAGCCGTTTTTGAGAAATTTACTCTTGATTTTTTTTCTGCAAAATGTAGAAAAATAAATACAAATATTTTAATAAACGTTTCAAAAAATTAATTTAAGGTGATCTTACATATACATATGTAAAATTTTTAGTCACTAACTACGATAAACTTTTAATAGATTTAAAGTTGGTTTGTTTTGTTTTAAAAAGAAAAAGCTATGTTTCCAATTAAAGACAAATTGAAACTTGTTGTTTTAAGCCTATTTGCGGATTATGATGTTTAGGAAGAAAGTTTGCCTGCAGCCTTATGTAGTTCCTGCAAGATTAAAATATATAAAGCATAACATGGTTCTGGGAGAATGGAACTGAAGCTACCCATTTTGTCTGATGATTAGAAACAAAAGAGAGCAAAACGATACCAAGATGTTACAAAATGTAGTTGTAAACTGTGTCAAATCGCTCTAGCCGTACCGGCAAATATTGCTCAAGCAACATGCGATTTTATACCAGAACAACACAAAGAAATGGTTGTTTCTTCGTCGGTGGAAAAAAGATGTAGTGTCTGTTGTACTATTCTGCCCTGGTAAGCCAAACCCCCGTTTGTACAATATTGAGTTATAAGGGACAAAAGATCATTTTCATTGTTAAAAACAATAAAAATTATCTGTTGGTCTTTATTACTGAATATTGAGAATACGGGGGTTTGGCTTAGCACGGCAGTATTCTAGCAAGAGGAAAACAACATGTTTGCAACAAAGTTTCTCGAGTGCAGAATATGTCTGGATACTTGTCAACCCTGGATGAGAAATCTCAAAGCCAGGTAATTTAAAGTGCCCTTAAACGTAAAGTATGCGACGTAGCTTACCTGGTTTGAGATTTTTCATCCAGAGTTGACAAGTATCCAGAAATATTCTGCACTCGACAAACTTTGTTGCAAACATGTTGTTATCCTCTTGCTAGAATAGTACAACAGACACTACAACAGCGATTTGACACAGATTACAACTACATTTTGTAACATCTTGGAATCGTGTTGCTCTCTTTTGTTTCTCATCATCAGACAAAATGGGTAGCTTCAGTTTCTTTTTCCCAGAAGCATGTTATGCTTTATATATTTTAATCTTGCAGGCAGCCTTATTAAGGCTGCAGGCAAACTTTCTTCCTCAACATCAAAATCCGCAAATAGACTTAAAACAACAAGTTTTAATTTGTCTTTAATTGGAAACATGGCTTTTTCTTTTTAAAACAAAACAAACCAACTTTAAATCTATTTACACTATGCGTTAACGCATGATCTTTAGACATTTTTGCGGTAAAAGTTTATCGTAGTTAGTGACTAAAAGTTTTTACATATTATGAAGACTTTTAGTTGATAAATATGTAAGATCACCTCAAATTAATTTTTTGAAACGTTTCTTAAAATATTTGTATTTATTTTTCTACATTTTGCAGAAAAAAAATCAAAAGTGAATTTCTCAAAAACGGCTCCGCCGAAGATTTTAATTTTTATTGTTAAAATAATTCTAGGTCATGCAGATAGAGAATTTGAAAAAATGTCAGATGTGCAGAAGTTCATGGGTTGAATCAGTGCACACCGTGACACATTGAATAGCTATGGCTTTATGGTATTTTATTTATTTCTGATTTAAGTCGCGGGCTGAAGCAGATATCGGCAATAACAATCAATAAATAAAAAAAAACAGTAAAGAGCATTGAAGAAGGTTTTTACTTACGTATGAAATGTAAGTTTGTTTATATTTTGGTTGCTGCGGACTCCGGTTATAATTTTTTGACAGGCTTACAAATATAAATGTAAGTTACAATGATTTACAATGGGCGACGGCCATATTGTAAAACCTTTACGTACTCCCAAGGAAACGTTCAATATATCACTTGAGCTCTTTTCTGTAAATGGCCTCAATCCTAACAAACCTTCTATATCTCGGTTCGCGTGAAAAGCCACGAATTTAATCAACCCACTGCACACTCAGAAAATAAACGCCATTTTTATTCTTCATAATTCTTGTGTTGTGAGTTTCTGTGTTTTTTATACGGATTTTCGTTGTTTATTGGTTTGGCCCTTTGTTAATATATTAATATTGAATAGAACATTGTTTTTATTTAATAGAAATCCAATCTCTCCATGTTGGACGACTATAAGGTATACCCGCCAGTGGCGGCTCGTCAGGGTAGGCCTCTGAGGCCGCGCCTCACCCTTACAATGAAGGAACGAACGACTTTTTGTATTTAGATTTTTGCCTATTACAAGTGTATTTTTACAACAGTTCTACCCAATAAAAAGTAAAAAACCAATCAATCATACTAAGCGTAAATAAAAATGCAGGCGCAAAGCGCGTCAAGGTACCGTGCATCGTTGAGAGTCGCTAGGACAGATGCGAAATTTTCACAGCCTCGGAAGCTCCCATTTACCTCTAGAAAGCGAAAATGACTCACCAACAAAAATATCGCCGGAAGTTCGCGAATAAATACCATAGATTCAGTCGAAGATGAGGCGAAATTTAGTTAGCTTGGCTTGTTCTGATTGGTGGTTTTATCACACGACCGATGACAATCGCTTGTGGGGGTCCGTCTATGGTGGGATGCCAGTGTTCTCTTAGCGTTTGTAGAGCACGTTATTGTTTTGATTCAGATTAAATTATTTAAAACTTTTGGCTGATCTTTTATAGTTTTTGTCTCGATTAGTAAAATTTCTTATTTAATTATTGTAGGGAACACATTAAGGTAGATTTAGCAGTTTTTATTAAGCAAATTTTATATTTTGAAATAATAGATTGCATAATTCTTCAATTAGAGACGCGGTTTGAAAATTTAGAATTACTTTCAAATCTCACTGCAGACCCACAATTTTACGACCAAATAATAGATAAATTTGCAAACTTGAAAGATAGACGTATAGATTTAATTTACAAAAAGTAGCTATAGTATTTTATATTTTTTAATACTTATAGACCAGGGTCGATAATTTTTGAAACCAAAAAAATAACAGTAGGATGAAACCCATTGGAAAAGGAGAAGAATATAATAAAAATGAAAGGAAAAATAAATTACGGGCGATCTGACTTCGGGAAGTGGGAGGGGGGGGGGTTTAAGGGTAAAAAATGGTTTATCTCGATTTCCGGCAAAACTACAAGTCCTATGGAAAAAAGTTAAATAGCAAAGTTGTAGGTAATAAAAGGATCTACAACTTTTGTAATTACAATTTTTTTACATAACCTCAAAATTTATGTGAAAAATTCAAAAAACCAAGTTTTTGGTTTTTTATTTTTATCTTTAAAAAAAAAAAAAAATTTTCCACGAAATTTGCTGAAAACTTACCTTTTTATGTCCCAAATACACTGTAATTTATTTGATTTGAAATATTTATTATTTCGCCTTATTTTGACTTAATATCAAAAAAGCACCCTAATTTTCAATCGAAAATTCTCGCGTCAAAATATCAGCTTTTTTTAAAAAGTCGGTGTGCTTTTTGTTCGTTGAAATCTCTACTTTCTGATGGTGTAAAAAAATATACATTACTATGGTAAATGTTCTCAGAAAATGCAAAAAATATTATAATGAATAACGAAAAAAACTCGAATTCGAAAATTTATTTTAATCATTATGTACAATTTCATCAAAAAAATGTGATTCTTGCAATTTTTTTTAGTTAAAAAGTTTATTTATTAAATTCTAATAACATTTATGTCAGAAAATCTCATAAAATATAAAAATACATGTAAATCATACTATTGAATTTAGATACTTCATTCTGATTACGTTATTCATTATAATATTTTTTGTATTTTCTGAGAACATTTACCATAGAAATGTATATTTTTTTTACACCATCAGAAAGTAGAGAGTTCATCGAACAAAAAGCACACCGACTTTTTGAAAAAAGCTGATATTTTGACGCGAGAATTTTCGATTGAAAATTAGGGTGCTTTTTTGATATTAAGTCAAAATAAGGCTAAATAATAAATATTTCAAATCAAATAAATTACAGTGTATTTGGGACATAAAAAGGTAACTTTTCACCAAATTTCGTGGAAAAAAATTTTTTTTTGAAAAAGATAAAAATAAAAAACCAAAAACTTGGTTTTTTGAATTTTTCACATAAATTTTGAGGTTATGTGAAAAAATTGTAAATACAAAAGTTGTAGATCTTTTTATTACCTACAACTTTGACATTTAACTTTTTTCCATAGGACTTGTAGTTTTGCCGGAAATCGAGATAAACCATTTTTTACCCTTAAAACCCCCCCCCTCCCACTTCCCGAACTCAGATCGACCGTAATTTATTTTTCCTTTAATTTTTATTATATTCTCCTCCTTTTGCAATGGGTTTTATCCTACTGTTATTTTTTTTCTCTTTTTACCATTTTTAAAGGCTTCTGCACTGGTCTATTAGGTAGGGGTGGACTTTTTAGTTTTATTTTTATTTTTTGATTAATTTATTTATTTTTAACTTTTTTAAGAATATATTTTTAAGTTTTAAGATTAAAGCTAGTCTTTGATGTGATATTTTGTTTGTTTTGTTTTTTAGAGTTTATTTTTTATTTATAATGGTTTAGTAGGAGTAGAGTAGCAAAGGGGTTCCTGCGCCACCAAGTCAAATTCAACCGCCAGGAGGCGCCACTTGCCGGTCATTTTCAGTTGGTAGCAGTGTATTGCGCATGAG